ACACACACACACACACACACACACACACACACACACACACACGTGTATTTGTTTTCCGCTTTACTGAAGCAGCTGAGTGTGTTTTACAGCAGTCGGTTTGTGTTTGTTCCTGGTCCAGAAGACCCTGGACCCGGCGCGGTTTTACCCAGGTACAGTGCGCACATTTCAGTCACATAAACATCATTGTGTGTCTCTCTCTCTCTCTGTGTGTGTGTGTGTGTGTGTGTGTGTGTGTGTGTGTGTGTGTGTGTGTGTGTGTGTGTGTGTGTGTGTGTGTGCAGGCGCATCACTGATGGTTTTATTGGTCTGCTCTCTGTGTTTGTGTCCGGCATTCATGTATTGGGCCGCTGGAAGGACACACTCATGTTTTCCTCTAGTTAATACTGCAGTTGTGTTGTATTGTCGGACTCAGTGAATTGTGGGTAAATGCTCTGTAGTTTGGTGCAGAATGTTTCTCGGATGTGCTGATAGTTTGTGCAGGGTCAGGAAGTGTTCCTCCTCCTCCACCTCTGCCTGGGTGCAGTGTGGGCAGATGCGTCTCTCTCTGGGTCGCCAGTTCTGTCTGTATGGGCCCGTCTCAGCCTGTGTTTGCTCATTGTTGTTCTTAGTTTACTCTCCTTTACTGCGCTCAGATATGTTGCTGTGTGTGTGTGTGTGTGAATCTGCAGCGTTTTAGTCATTCTCTCTTACTCACACACACACACAAAAGCACATATAAACATCTTTGTGTGTGTGTGTGTGTGTCTGCAGGCCTCCACTGGCGGAGCACATCACAGAGGAGTTTCAGCAGCGTGTGCCGCTCTCTGTCTTCACCACCAACCCCTGCAGGTGCTGTGTGTTTGTGGCTTTATATAAGTGTGTGTGTGTGTTTATATAAGTGTGTGTGTGTTTATATAACTGTGTGTGTGTGTCGGCAGGATCCAGTACTGCAGTCAGGAGCTGGTGATTATTCGGGAGGATCTGGTCAATAAGATGTGCCGGAACTGTGAGCGTCTGCCGAGCAGCAGCCTGGACATCCCTACACACGTCAGTTCATCACACACACACACACACACACACACACACACACACGTCTATTTATTAAACACATCTGCGTCTGCTCTGACAAACGATGCTCTGTGTGTGTGTGTGTGTGTGTGTCTGTGTGTGTGTGTGTTTTCAGTTTGTGAAGACCGTGCTGTCTCAGGGTCACCTGACGCCGCTGCCGCTGTACGTGTGTCCGGTGTTCTGGGCGTACGATCACACACTCCGCCTGTATCCTGTACCAGACGTCATCGTGTTTGCAGACAAATACGACCCGTTCAACATCTGCAACACCGACTGCCTGTGCATCAACCCGGTGAGTGTGTGTGTGTGTGCGCAACATTAACTGAATGTGCATCAACCTGGTGTGTCCGTGAGTTTGTGTGTCTGTGTTTGTGTGTCAGTGTGTGTGAGTCCGTGTGTCCTTGTGTGTGTCCGTGTGTTTGTCTATGTGTGTGTGTCCGTGTGTCTGTGTGTCCT